TCTCCAGCACAGTCCCCGAGAGTGCCACCACAAAGACGGGAAGATGGGGGACTCAGGGCCAGTTACCTTTCCTGTGTGGCTGCTGGGAGCTGTCTGTCCAGCAGGGACTGTCCCTTCCGATCACCACCGAAGCCTGTGTCTGCAGGAGTGCCCGTGCTCAAGGCATTGAGGGGCCCGTGGTTCGAGGTCCGCCTTTCATTCATTCCACGAATCTTTGCAGACATTTGTGCTGGTCAGCTCGGTTGAGGCTGCGGTGCAGAGAGGCCTCGGGGGGGTCAACGTGTTGAGCTGACAGGTGTTGGGGGACAGGAGGAAGCAGCTGGAAGGTGACAGGGGAGGTGTGTCCAAGGGGCAGCGGGACCGGATTCACTTGGCGTATCCTGGTGTTGCTTGACCCTGTGTGTCCCGAGGCTAGATCTGTCCCTGCCCTGTGATGGTCATACCTCACAGTTGCTTGTCCAGAGAAACCTCCAGAGGCTCTCAGAGGCCAAGAGTGTGGGCACTGTTTCAGGGGAGAGGAGCGGAAGCCTGGGGCCCAGCCAGCTGCCCCCTTCCCCGTGTGCCCTGCCCTGGCACTGTGCCGGGCCCCTTGAGGGGAGCACAGTCCCCTGAGCGGCTCAGGCCCCTGGCTCCGCAGGGGGCATCCGGGAGGGCTGCCTGCAGAGCCACCGTGCCCTACCACCCTGGCAGGAAGCTCGCCCAGGCCTGAGTGAGGGGATGGGGCTGCCTCACCGGGATGGCCAGCACGCCCTTGCCCTTCCCCAGTCCCTGTCTCTGGGATTGAGTAATAAAAGCCACCTATGGTCCTGTGTGACCCTGTTGCACGAGCTCTTTCTTAGGGGGCGGGCAGCCTGGCAGCCGTGACCTGTGGCCCAGAGAGAGCCCCCCAGGTGGCAGCGGCTTTGACTGTGGCCCCTTCTTGCCTGGATCTGGCGGTGTGCTGCCTGCCCTGACGCCCCGGCCTTGGGCTGCCTCCTGGGTTGGGGGCGGTGTGAGGGCAGAGGGAGGCCAGGCCTCTGGGCCCTCTGGTGCAGATGGACCCCACACATGGGGAGGAGGACTCCAGACCCTGCTTCTCTGGGCACAGCCAGCTGCAGCTGCGGGCGCATCTAGGACGCCCCCTGTGTGCACCTGAGCACCCGCTTGCGTGGCCTTCCCAGGTGTCGGGGGTGCCCCGGGTGGTGCCGGGTTCTTCCCTCCAGAAAGAGTGAATGGCCAGGTGCTCTCATCCCTGGCTTGAGGCTACTTGCTGGCCTGTCCAGTGGGGTGCCCGCATGTCCAGGGGTGCGGGGTGAGGGCGTCCCACGGCGGGGAGAGGGGATGCTCCAGAGGCAGAGACTCCAGGCCCGGAGGGAGGAGTGGCAGCTGGCCCCTCTGAGGACCTGGGGGCTACTCTGCCCTCTGCCAGGTCCCACTCCCCTAAACGCCCAAGATACATGCGTTGAGGGATGAGTACCCAGGCCCTGGGAGCGCTGTGCCTCCCGCCCTGCACTGGGGCCGAGCGGGGGCTGGCTGTTAACCGCCTCTTTTCTGCCCTGCCGCCTTTCAGGAACGTCCTCCCTTCTCTCTCAGCCTCCGAGGCCTCTGCCACCCAGGCAGCTTCCTGGGGCACGGGTGGGTCTAGTTGCTCTGCACTGGCTGGTCCTTGTGTCTGGCTTATCTCTCATGCAGCAGGGATGGTGTCTGTTCCCTCATGGCCCCTCTGCCTACCCCCTGGGACTGTGACAGCCACCTGGGTTGGAGGCATCCCTGCTGGTGTCTGATTGGGCACAGAGTTAGGGCTTGACCACTGTGGTCCTGGGACAAAGGAGGAAGCCGGGTAGGGTGATGGTGAGTCTTCTCTCGTCCTTCAGGAGCCAGAGCCGATCAGGCAGCGCTGGGTCTTCCTGTCTGGGTGGGGGAGGACCAACCTCTCACCAGCTGTGTGGGCCTTAGGGAGCTGCTCGACCTGGCTCAGCCCCGTCTCCTCCTCTGTGAGGTGGGCTGGCACAGGCAGGGCAAACCTGGCGCAAGGGAGGCCTGGGGGTCTCCGAGCCTGCTCTGCAGCTCCTTTTCGCTGCTCTTTAATCCTACATGCAGCTGGAGCTGGCGGGACTGGTGTCTGTGCAGGTGCAGAAGGGCCCGGGGTGTTCTGTAACCAGGGGTCGTGGTGGGAGCAGAGGGGAGCAGAGGCAGGATGGAGCCCAGGAAAGGGTGGTTCCAGGCAGAGGGAAGGTTTAGAGGGCGGGGAGGTGGCTGCCCAAGACTCGGGAGAGACCTTCGATCCGACACGGGCTCCAAGCAGTGCTTTCCCTGAGCACTGTGGCCACACCATGCTGTTCTCCCCCTGTGCTGGACGCCTGGCTCAGGAGCTGGCGATCAGAGTGTGTGTCAGGACCGGGTCCCTGGGAGAGCTGCCAGCGGCACCAGAGCCCGGACAACTGTCTTTTTCCAGTGGGCGGGGCTGCTGCTCCAAGGACCGGCACAGGGGTGGGCCTGGGGACGGGCTGAGGGCGCTGGGAAGAGGCCTCTGCCAGACTTCCCCTCCGAGCTGACCAGGGCCTTCCCAAGGGACGGCCCTCAGCTGACGGCTGGGCAGGCCCTTGGCCTTGCAGGTGTCCCTTGAGCTGGGCAGCAGCCGGCCCTTTTCTCCCCTGGGCTGAGGGTCTGCTTCTCCTGAGGGTGTCACCCCGGCACCTGGGCCTTCAAGGAGCTTTCCCAGTCATCCTGAGATTGGCTCCCTTCCTGAAAAACAGCCCAATTAACCTTGTTTACCAGGGGCACGCCTACCTGGCGCAAACCCCGAAGGAGCACCTATTCGCTTCTATCCAGACTAGTGCCCGGTAATTGGAAGGTGCTGAGGCTCCCCCAGGGCCCGTCCTGGCCTCTCCAGGCTCGCCTCTCGAGTTGCTTGTAAAACCTTTTCTTGAGGCGCTCCACCAATTTCTCTTGGGCCCTTGAGGGACCCGCCCCCTGAGGAAGGGTTGGGCTCGGTGGCTTACATGTACCTTCTCCATTGCCCCTTCCCCCCAGAAGCCTCTGGGAGCCTTGGCGGGGGCTCCAGGGGCTGCTGCTTCAAGGCCCGAGCTCTGGGCCTGATGCAGTCACGTCTAAGCCTCGGGGGGTGGGGCCCGTGCCCCTCTGCCAGCTGTGTGCTTGATGTTTCTAGATCAGTCTGGAGCCCCCCAGCTGGTGACATGGCCTTACAGTGCCTTGGGGAAATGGAGGCCCAGAGGGGGTCTTGACCTAGACCATCCCAGGGCCACCTAGGGCTGTTTCTTTTGCTTTTCGGTGCAGCTGGGTAGAGTGCAGGAGGCAGCCTCCCCCAGGACTGAAAATGTCACATGTTGGTGGGGCTCCTGGATGCTTAGCTCAAGGGGGCTGGAGCTGAGCCTGGTGGGAGCTGCACCCCCATGAGAGTCTGAGGGCGCCTGGAGGGAGCGGAGCAGGCGGAAGTGCCCTTAGTCAGGCTCACCGGTGCCAGTCAGGCTCTTAGTTAGGCAGCAAGAGCACCTCTCCCCGCCAAGATGCCTGGCTGGCCCCCCAAGCATCAGCCTCTGCTGCTGGTCCCCCTTGGGGCCTTGGCAGCACCCCCCCTTCCTTCCGTGGGGCTGGACCCTAGGGTGCCTCCGCACCGCGCTTCCAAAGCACAGGCTCGTTTGTGGGGGGATCCCATCCTTTCAGAATCTGAAGTGCAAGGTCTGAACTCGGCCATTACTTGAGCGGGGCTGGAGGCACTCCCGGATGACTTGTCTGTCGCCTTGGAATCTCTGTGAGCTGTTCTAGAGCAGGCAGTGGGTGGGAAAGGACCTCTGTCCATTAGCTCCCCACTGTGCCCTGTCCACCTCTCTTGGGAGCAGAGTGTTCCTTGCTGCTGTCCCCCACCTGGGGCAGTGGGACGGGGCAGGAGGGAGGCTGGGGAGTGACGTGAGTTGGACTAGAGGCCCCTGGAGACCAGCAGGACCCCACCAGCCCCTCACTGGGCTTGCCCCATAAGTGCTCCCAACTTGCTGGCCTGGGCCTCTCCACTCTGCTCGGCAGCCAGGACTTGGAGGGGGGCACTGGCTCCCCTGCTCATCCAGGCAGGTGGGGGTTAGGGGTGGGCTTGCTGTTAGTGCCTCTGGGCCCGTTGTGGCTCAGGGTGGGCTGGGAGGGGGCCCTAGGTCTTGCTGTTGGGGTTTCTAGCCTTCCCTCTGGACCTCTGCATGGTCTGTTCATCTTGAACCTGGCCGGGGCCGGGGGGCCGCTGACCATGTGTCCTGACCTGGGCCCCTGGCCTGACACCCTTGGCTGGGAGGTGGGGACATGAAGTGACTGCTCCCTGGCACCCAGTCCTGCTGGGCCCCCGTGGCCTTCATTGCTTGGCTTTACCTCCTCAGCTGTGACTGACAGCCCTGGCGTGTCCTTGGTGGCACAGATACACACAGCCTTTCTAAGTATCACTTGAAAAAGAAGTTCCAAGTTAGAAGCCAGACAACAGCCCTGCAGTGGCCTTGCCCTCCCTCGGGCCGCCAGGCAGCCGGCTGAGCCCCGGCCCTGCAGCGCCCTGTGCTCCTTGCGCTCCCTCGTTCGCTGGGGCTTCTGCAGCTAGATGCCGCACGCTGGGTGCCTGGAAGCAGCACAGGTGTTTCCTCTGGTGGTTTTGGGGGTCAGAGGTCCAAATGGGGCTCCCTGGGCTATGGTCCACATGTGGGCGTGGCTGGTTCCCTCTGGAGGCTCCCGGGAGACCTGGCTGCTACCCTGCAGCCACAGGGCACCAGGACGGAGTCACATGTTCCACACGGGTTTCCTGGGAGGGCGTCCGGCAGGCCACGAATGTCGAGCTGCGTCCCGGCCCTGAGGCGTTTGGCTGCGGGGTGCTGTTTCTCTCTCGGAATGCTGGGCTTTGTTTGCTCACTTTTTACTGAGAATTTCTGCGTTTCTGTCTGCAAGTGACAGTCTCCTGTGAGTTTTGTGGCAACTCTGGTGGCACTTGGGTTGCGCTAGTCTTGTGGAATTTACCCCAGAAACAGGCAGATCACATGAGCTACCTGTCCACTGGACGCTCCCTTGGGGCTGGCGTGAACGTTGGTGCTCATACTCTGTGGGCCACCATGCTGTGTCCTGAACACGGTACATTGTTTGGCCATCTTTTGCAGCCATGGCATGGTACCTAGGCGGCCTTCTGCTTTGTCGCCTTGTAAAATGTGTCCTGTGCTGTGGGTGTGCTGTCCCGTGTCCTCAGCAGTGGGTAGTCAGTGGTTTATGCTCTCCCGCTGGCACCTGCTCAGCCGGTGGGCTTTTCTGCGGGCGAGAAGGCGAGTGGGACAGAGTGCAGAGGCACTACCCCAGACAGGGCTGCACACGCGTCCCCCGCTGTTCCGAGCAGGCTGTGTGGGGCCCAGCCTTCTGCTCGCCTCCCACCCCCGCCTCCTGAGCTTGGGAAGCTCTGCGCACCTCCCCCCGTACTCCCTGTGGCCCCCCAACCCCGGCTGGGCGTCTGGACTTCCAAGGGTATCCCCCACCGCCCCTGGCTGCAGGTGCAGTGTCACTGTGGGCCGGCTCTGTGGGCACCCCTCTATCTCGCCCTGCTGCACACCTCACGTCCCATTTCACAGTGGCTAAAGTCCCCGGGCTCCTGCGGCCTTCTCTGGGGCCCGAGTTCTGTGCCCCTCACTCCTGGCAGCCTCAGCAGGGCGGGGCCTACATGGAGGGGCCCGCTGGAAACCTTGACTTGCAGGTAGAGCCTCGGTGGGGGTTGGCCGGAGGCCTGGCCCCTGGATGTTCTGCAAGGCTGGTTCTCCCCTCTCTGCTCTGGGCTGGCCCGTGGGCTCAAGGCCCAGGATAAGGCAGTGGCTGGTCGCTGGCTCATGTGGCTGCTGCCTTAGGGCCTGCTCACTGCTGTTTTCTCCCTCTTCCCGTTTTAGGGCTTGGTTATGACCCGTACAATCCTGAGCTGCCCAAGCCCCCGGCGCAGAGGGAGAATGGTGCCCTGGGTAGAGGGGACGAGCCCCGCTCGGACATTCTGGAGCTGGAGCTGGTCAACCAGGCCATTGAGGCTGTGCGTTCCGAGGTGGAGCTTGAGCAGAGGCGATACCAGGAGCTCCTGGAGACGACCCGGGAGCACGGCTCGACTGAGGCCCCCGCGCTGGCGCCCCGCGGCCCCATTGCCTGCCCCGCCGCCGGCCTGGACGAGGATGCTTTCCCGCTGTCCTTCAGTTACAACCCTGGCGGCCGTGGCCTGTTCAGCCCCGATGCCAGCTACCAGCCCACACCACTGGCTGCCTCTGCCGAGCCCAGCAGCAAGTACTCGCTGGCCTCTCTGGACCAGGGTCAGGGCCATGGTGGAGGGGGTGGCAATGCCCTGGAGTACGTCCCCAAAGCTGTGAGCCAGCCCCGGCGATACAGCCGCCCTGTCCACAGCAGCAAGTACGTGGTGGACAACTCCAAGCCCTCTACAGACCTGGAATACGACCCACTGTCCAACTTCTCTGCCCGTCTGCTCAGCAGAGCCAGCGCCAAGGACGACAGGGCCCCCAAGCGACCCAGGGGCTCCCTTAGCAGTGAGCCCTACACGCCTGCACCCAAGAAGACCTGCGACCCTTTTGGTGGCTGTGACGCAAGGTTCTCGGACTCAGAGGATGATGCTGCCGCAGCCCCGGGTGATAAGCCCACCACCGCCAGCCCCCCGAGAGCCCAGGTGGGTTCTGGGAGCAAGGCCCTGGGGAAGCCTGGCTCCAGGGTGGGTGCAGAGCCTGAGGAGGGCAGCCTGCGGGAGACCAAGGAGATTGCCGTGCAGTATGACGTGGGGGACCTCGGGCAGCCTCCCAAAGGCCCGGGTGGGCCGCCCCCCACCAAGGCCAGCTCCCCGGCCAGGGTCTCACAGGAGCACGGCAGCTCCAAGGAGGGGAGGCCCAAGAAGAAGAAAAGTGGGGTGCTTCCGGCAGCCAGCCCCAAGGACAGTGTCCGGAGAACAGACAAGGATAAGGATGGAGCGCGTGGGAGGCTGGCCGAGAAGCCCGGTGTGGACAGGAGGGGCCTGCAGGCCAGCAGCCCCCGGCAAAGGGCAGAGCGGTCCCAAGGGACCAAGAAAAAGCCATCTTCAGCCACTCTGGTGGCCAGCTCAGGGAAAGGCCGGCCTGACCAGCCGGGACCGAAACCAAGCCCCACACAGGGGGGCGCCCGCCAGCTGCCGGACAGGACAGTTAGTGAGACCCCATCAGGGAAGCTGGCAGAGCGGAAGACCCGCTCACTGGACGAGGGCACCCCCCGGGACGCCCCCAAGCTGCAGAGGCGGGCCCTGAGCCACGCCGACCTCTTCGGGGATGAGAGCGAGGACGAGGACCCCGGGCCCAAGGTGCCTGGACTCCGGCCGCCTGCCCTCCCCAGCCTCAGCTCCAGCTCCGATTCGGACTCTGACTCAGACACGGACTCCAGCCTGGGCCTCTCTTCTGCACGGGGGCTGCCCAAACGCCTCAAGGCCTCCCCGCCCCCCTTGGCTGGCCAGTCCTCCTCCTCCCCCTCGTCCTCGTCCTCGTCGGGGGCGGGTTCTGACGTGGACTACTCAGTCCTGGAGAAGGAGGTCGACTTTGACTCCGACCCCATGGAGGAGTGCCTGCGCATTTTCAACGAGTCCACCGCGGTCAAGACGGAGGACAAGGGCCGGCTGGCCCGGCAGGTGAGGGTCTTGCTGGGCTCCTCCCTGACTGCCTATGACTGGAGTCTCGTGTCCGCCTCGTAACTCGTTCAGAACTCAGGGACCCTCGCTGGCTGCCTGCTGCCCCCTGCACCCCATCCAGAGAGAGGATGCCAGCGGCTTACAACCCACCCCCACCACTGGGTTCTGTGGCCCCCTTCTGAGAGCACTCCCGTGAAGGATTTGCGGCCTTCCTCAGCCCGCTCCCTTCCCCCCGCTGCTGCCCTCTGCCTCCTCCTTGTGGCCTCCTCCCCATCCTCCCCATCCTGGTCCCTCCTCTCCCCATGCAGCCCCCCTCCCCCCTCCTCTCCTTTCCCTCCCTCCAGCCCCCCCCAACCCCCCCCAAAAACTCAGCCAGCCTCAACCTTTCTGGTCTGCTGTGCCAGTGTCCCCACCTCAGCCAGCAGAGGGAGCTCGCTGTAAACAGCACGCTGTGCCAGCTCCTGCACCGAGCCTGCAGCTTCTGAGGGTTCAGATCACAGGCTTGGCCACGGCCCTGCCCCTGGGTCCCTCCCTTAGTGCCCCACCCTGTTCCTGGCCCTTTGCTTTTCAATTTCATCCCCTTCATTCTCATGATTCTGAGCCCTTCCCTGTGCCAGGTGGGTGGTATGTGGGCTGGGCCAAGCCTGCAGAATTCACCCTCAGTGGGGCCTGGGAGATGAGCTCAGGGCTCCGGCAGTGCTGGGGGAAGACTTGGCTCCAGGGCGCTAAATCTCCTCACCTGTGAGGAAGGCCTGGCACACCTCCTGGGAAGTCGGTGAGAGCTCCAAGTCACATGTCTGGACACGGCAGCCTGACCTTCAAGCCTGTTACTGCCTTCCTACCCACTCCCGGCTTGGCCTGGGAGTCACATCCTCTGTGTGCCCCAGCGTTGGCGTGGGGAGCTGAGGCCCCAGGAGGGGGCCTTGTTGACGGATGAACGTGTGTTTCAGCCTCCCAAGGAAGAGAAGATGGAGGACCAGGGGCATTCAGGGCTGACCACTCTGTTCCCTGGGCAGAAGAGGAGGATTTCTCATCTTTCCAAGCAAGGCAAGGAGGTGAGGTCCTCCTCTGGGGTCCTGGGGTAGAGGCTGGCAGGAGGGAGAAGGGTTCCCATCTGCAGAAGCAAAGGCCCCGTGTTCCTTTGCTGATGGGTCCCTTTGGTGCTGCCCGTGTCCTGCAGAGACGTGCCTGGGACCCACAACCAGCCACCAAGTTGCGCTTAGTGGTGCGGGGAGCGGGGCCCGGGGCAGGGAGAGCGAGGGAGGGACGGCTCTCCAGCAGCTACACTGCTAGATCCCAGCTCCAGAGTACACTGTGTGATCTTGCACAAGTGAGGTGTCCTCTCTGAGCCTTGGTTTTGTCCCTCGTGGCCTGAAGACAGGAGCAGTTGTCAGTCACTGGTGGGGGGTGGGTTGGTTAGTGTGCTAGCGCAGGGAAGGCTGGGGCAGAAGACAGAGCTCCAAGCTGAAGAACTGCAGGTGATCCAGTCATTCTCCCTCCGCCCGAGGGGGTTCTGGAAGTGAGGTCTAGAGAAGATTGGATTAGCAGGATCTAATCTAGGGGCTGGGGATTTCCATTCACTCTGTGCCTACATCAGGGCTGAGAGCATTTGTGCTGTGTGATCTCAAGCAAGTGGTGCAACCTCTCTGAGCCTTGGCTTTCTCCTTTGTGGCCCAGAGACAGGAACAGTCTTCCATCACTGTGGGGTGGTCAGTGTGCTAGTGCAGGGAAGGCTAGGGCAGAAGACAGGGCTCCAAGCTACAGAACTACAGGTAATCCAATCACCAGACCCCACCCCAACAAAGGAGACCCTGCAAGATCTGTCTAGAGAAGATTGAATCAAGCAGGATCTAATCCAGGGGTTGCGGGTGCCCACCCACCCTGTGCCTATATAGGAGCTGAGGGCCCAGCCTGGGTAGTCAGAAGCCAGAAGCCTGGAGAGCAGGGCCAGGAGGGAGGCCCGGGGTAGTGAAGCAGCATGATGAACTTGAGAGCCGACGCACCAAGCTGGTTCCCTGCAGGACACGCACAGACTCAGGAGATGGTGCCCGTGCTGGGGGTGGCCTGCCCCTTCCTGGACCTGGGGTCCCTGCTGTCTGTGCAGCAGTTCCCCTGTCCTGCTGCCCTGGGTGGCCTGCTCCGGGTGCCCTTGATGTGCACTCTGCACTTGGAATTTGCCATCTTCCAGGCGGAGCCGACGAAGAGAGGCCCCACGCTCCCCACCCGGCCCCCGACTGCCCAGGAGGTGTGCTACCGGCGGGCCCAGCAGGCGCAGAGGGAGTCAGCCAGCTGGTTCCAGGCTGCCCAGCAGCCGGCCGAGAGGCCATCCTCTGTCCACATCTCGGCCCCAGGCGAGAAGAGGAGGATCGCCCATGTCCCCAACCCACTCCTGGCTGCAGGTAAGGCCCGTGGTCCAGCAGAAGGAGCCTGGCCATGGCCGTGGCTGTGAGCCTGGCCTGGCTGGGTCTCAGGGTGCTTATCTTTAAGATGAGGGTGGAAGTCTCCTGATTGCCAGCAGGAGGCGGGAGCATGCCTGGCAGCTCTGGGCCTCTGTGGGCTTGGGTGGCGGTGGTGGGGCTGGCTGTAGCGAGCCTGACAGGTGTCCTCCTCCCTCCCCCTGCTTGTTAGGCAGACCGGGGCCACCCCACCTGCCTGGTCTTTGGGAGGCTCCCACCCAGGTGTGGTTTGCAGCCGGCAGGGTGTCAGTGGGGCTTGGGGGCTGTTTTTCTTCCTTGTCACACCCTGAGGGCCAATTCCTGCCGGCTTGGGCTTGTCTGGAAGCTGGGCTGCACCTCAGCAGTTGGATGGGCCAGCCGCTCAGGGGTGCGTCTAGGGCGGAGGACTTACGTGTCTGGAGGGCTGGTTCATGTCTAGAGCCATCCGGCTTCTCTCTGGCGGGGGGGACCCTGCTGTCTGACCCGCTCCCCAGGGCCACCCTTGCTGCTGGTTCAAAGGTCCCTTTGAGGAACTGGCCCCGAAGTGACGGCTGCACACTCTGGTCCTGCGAATACAGGCTTCCACTGGCCTCCCTGGTTTTCCCTGGTGCCTAGAGCCTCCTTTAGGAAAAATTGTCCGGGTTCTGTTCCCTCCCCTTCCCCAGAGTGCCTGAGGTAGAGCTCAGAGCCAGGGGTTGGTCAGCCAGGGGGTTCCCTCGTGGATTTTGGCACAGGTTTGGCCCTGGGGCCCTGCATGGAGATAGCCCTGAACTGTGGACCAGAGACACACTCTCCAAAACCTCTTGAGTTGTCTGGTCATCACTGATGGCTTTGGACAGTCCTGTCACTATCATCACTGCACTCAGGTGGTGTGGCTGCTCTCCTGAGCCCAGGGAGACTCACCTGAGGTCCAGGGCCTTGTGCTCTAAATGACCCTAAAGCTCTCTTTCCATCCCTGGAAAGTGCACGTCCTTAGAGAGGACAGCAGTCGGCAGCTTGCTTCCCTCGTGGCCCGAGAGGCTGGCCCTGGCCTCGCCGCTCTGGGCCTCGGTCCCCTCGGCTCCTGTCCTTTCTCAGGGCTAACCACCCTAGCACCCCTGCCCCGGAAGGGGAAACAGCCCTGCTGGTGGGCACCCTCCTCCCCGGGGCAGGAGACTGTTGGGTTTGTGACCTCATCAAAGGGAGAGGCAGAACCCAGGCAGCTGCGGGCAGCTGCTCAGTGACCGGGCTGGGCCATCCCACAGCCTCTGGTCCTTAGCCCAGGAGCCAGGGCCTTTCTTCCCTCACACTTCAATGCCTCGGAGTCGGGGGCCGGAACATGTGGAAGAGGCTCCGCATGCCCTCTGCGACTCACCGGACCACCCCGGTGGCAGCCTTGCCTGAGCCGGCCTCTGCAGCCCTGTTTTCGTCTCCCTCATCTCGATGGACTTGCCGGAAAGCAGATAGAGCCTAATGTCCTTCCACAGCCCGCGGGCCAGGCCCCGGCCCTTCCCCCTGTGCTCTGAGATGCACGTCCTGCTGATGCTGAACGGCCGCGGCCGCTTGGTGCTCTGCAGCTCAGTGATGGGCGTGCTCTCCTCCTGCACTCACGGCCCCTGCCCCCTGCCAGCCCCCACAGGTGCCAAAAGGACCCTCTCGGCCAGCAGCAGCCAGCCTCCCAATGGCCCCGAGCCCGGCAGCCAGCCCCTGAAGACGCGCACGCTGTCAGGCATGGCGTCCAAGACCACCACCACCATCACCCCCAAGCGTGTGGCCCACAGCCCGTCCTTACAGGTACCGCGGCCCCCCATCTCCGCCCCCCAGCAGCTCCAGCATTTCTCCTGTCCTCCCGCTTGTTTTCTCTTTAACTGTAGGTTTGTTTCTTAGAGCCGTTTCAGTTCGCAGACACACTGAGCAGGGGGCCGCATGCCCCTTCCCTGCCCGCAGTTTCTCCCCTCCTGTCAGCACTGGCTGGTCCTCTGTCAGCGCCATGAGCCACTAAGGCCCAGAGTTTCTGGCAGGGTCCGCCTGGGGTGTGGGATGCTCGAGGGCTGGAGGGGCTGGAGGGGCTGGAGGTGCCGGTGGGCGCACCAGCCTCTGCTCTCTGTGTTTCTCTAGAGTTTAAAGAAGCCCATTATCCCGAAAGAGTTCGGAGGCAAAGTCCCCACCGTCATCCGGCAGCGCTATCTCAACCTGTTTATTGAAGAGTGTCTCAAATTTTGCTCTTCTAACCAGGAAGCCATAGAGAAGGTGCGAGGCCTGGGTGCGGCTGCCGGCTGGGGGCGGGCAGGGCTGGGTGGGGCTGAGCCCGGTGTCTGCCCACAGGCGCTCAGCGAGGAGAAGGTGGCCTATGACCGCAGCCCCAGCAAGAACATCTACCTGAACGTCGCTGTGAACACGCTCAAGAAGCTGCGTGGCCTGGTCCCCAGCACCGGGCCCGGTGTCAACAGTGAGTCGCGCCCGGAAGGCCCAGGCCCAGGCCTGACGCGGAGCCCCACCCCATCCCGGGCCACCTCTGGGCTGCAGGAGCCTCTCTGCAGCTCTGAGCCTGGTGGGCTCCTCAGACAAGGGCTCTGCATCCCCACTCCAGCTTCTCTTGGCCCCGTGCCCTCAGAACGGCCTCCCCTGGTCATTAACCGCCCTCCTCAGTGAGCTCAGGGCCACCGCTAATGGGGGCCTCTTCAAAGCGCGAGGCTGGGGCGGCCGGCTCTGCGCTGAGTGTGGGCGGTCGCTTCATTAGTCCCCTCGGAGGATGCATTAGCGCTGCGGCCCGCTCTGCCCCGCACGCTCCTCCGTGCCTTCCTGCTCTCGCCTTGCCGGCTCCCTCCGCTCCCCCACCCCCGTGGGCCTCAGGCAGAGCCCGAGAAGGCCGTCAGATCTTGTGTTAAGTTCTTCCCTTCCCCTCCAGGGGGTGAGGACCCCGGGCAGATCCAGGGGGAGGTGGAGGGGCTTCCAGGCAGCCTACTGGTCTCCAGAGAGTTAAGGTGGGGGCGATTGACTGCCCCACGTTGGCCAGAGGTCAGGCTGCAGGGAGCAGCCTCAGGAGGAGGGTCGGGGAGCCCTTGGGAGGGACAAAGGGTTCTGAACCTGGTTACCCTTCCCTTCCCTCTTCCAGAAACCAGTGGCCGAAGGGTCGTGTCCCATGAAGTGGTTTTGGGGGGCAAGTTGGCTGCCAAGACCAGCTTTTCGTTCAGTCGCCCCAGCAGCCCCCGAGTGGAGGATTTGAAAGGTGAGCCTGGCGGCCCTCCTACCCTCCCTGCCCACTGCTCCCCGTGGAAGAAGAGAGGCCCTGGCCCCAGCCCCACGGGCCGACCGCCCCTCCCGTTGTCCCCAGGGGCCGCCCTGTACGGCCGCCTCAAGGAGTACCTGCTCAGCGAGGACCAGCTCAAGGACAACGGCTACCCCTTCCCGCACCCCGAGCGGCCGGGCGGCGCCGTCGTCTTCACGGCTGAGGAGAAGAAGCCCAAGGACTGTGAGTGCCTCCCTCACCGCCGCTCTGGTGGAGGCTGGGCTGGCAGGGGGCGCCATCCAGGGAGAGGGAGCAGCACAGCCCCGGGGGTTCAGACAGAGCTCTGGGCCAGGCGGGGGGTGCAGGGCCAGCCTGACACCTTGCCCTGCCCCCTGCCCTGTCCGCACCCACAGCCTCCTGCAGGGTCTGCTGCCGCTGCGGCGCTGAGTACCTCGTGTCCTCCTCGGGCCGCTGTGTGCGGGATGAGGAGTGTTACTACCACTGGGGGCGGCTGCGCCGGAACCGAGGTGAGGCTGGGCTGGGCCGTCGCTGGGCTGGGCCACCTGCTCGATCACTTGTAGTTTTCTTTCCGTTGTTCTTCGTGACAAATCATGCAAAGACCTTCCTGTGGCAGTGCTCACACACAAAAGGAAGGCCTCCCGCTGCCCCACCAGCAAGTTCCCACTCACGGGAACACTCACAGCCCCTTGAGCTCCCCGCTGGCTGCCTGTGGACCGTCTCTGGGTCCGGGGCCGGCCTGCTGTCCTGAGTCCTCCTGCCTAGTAGGAAGGGCGTGGGGAAGGTGCCCCTGCCCGGGCAGACTGGGTGTCAGGAACCCCCTGTGGGAGGGCGGGGTCGGGCGGTGACATGGAACTCTGCTGACTGCCGCCTCCCCTCAGTGGCCGGTGGCTGGGAGACTCAGTACACGTGCTGCTCGGCCGCCATTGGCTCCACCGGCTGTCAAGTTGCCAAGGTGAGTGGGAGAGCCGTCTGCGGTCCCCCCCAGGCCAGAGCCCTAGCCCCTCCTTGACTCATCTGCATGATCTGGGGGCCTTGGGAAGAGGGGGACAGTCCCTGAAAGTCGCCCAGCAGTAGCTGGGCCTTCTGAGGTGCCACCCTCACATTCGTTAACTCCCTACCCTCAGCAACACGTGCAGGACGGCCGGAAGGAGAACCTCGAAGGATTTGTGAAGACCTTTGAGAAAGAACTTTCAGGAGACGCGCACCCAGGAATCTACGCCCTTGACTGTGAAATGGTGAGTCAGTCTGGCTACCTGTGGCCTCCCGAGTCCTTGGGAGCTGTGGTACTGTGGTGGTGTTGCCACCCGAGGGGTGTCCCTGCTCCTCTGCCAGAGCCTGGAGAGTGCGGGTGTTCAGATGAGAGAGTGACCAGCAGCCGGGCACACCTCCCCGAGCACAGGAACCCAGTGTGTCCCCCAGCACCCAGTGCACACACAGGGCCCCCTCTGTGCTCGGAGGCTACCTGGATATCGGGAGCACAACTCTGGCTTTGGGGAAGGGCCCCCAGGTTCACGCCCTCTCTGACCCCAAGAGGAGCCCAGAGGGCCTCTGGCTCAGGTCTCATAACTGAACGCGGGTGAAGGTGGGGCCTGAGCCTCCGCCTGCAGGGCTCAGGGACCAGGGGTGGCCTTATGACGTGGTGTGTGGGAGGGCCAGGACGCTGTCTCTGAGGTGTGTCCTCTGACCCCGCAGTCCTACACCACGTACGGCCTGGAGCTGACGCGTGTCACAGTGGTGGACACGGACCTGCAGGTTGTGTACGACACCTTTGTCAGGCCAGACAACGAGATCGTCGACTATAACACCAGGTGCGCCCCATCCCAACCTCCCAGAAGCTGAGAGCCTGTGCAGGACCCCTGTTCCTGTCTTGGGCCCAGCTTCCCTGCCTGCAACCCGGCTCCCGCCCGGCCTCTGTGCTGGGGGCCCCCGAGCCCTCCCCAGCCTCTCCAAGGCCTCTGTCCTCCCGCCTCCAGGTTTTCAGGGGTGACTGAGGCCGACCTGGCAGACACGAGCATCTCCCTCCGGGACGTCCAGGCTGTCCTGCTGAGCATGTTCAGTGCAGACACCATCCTCATCGGCCACAGTCTGGAGAGCGACCTGCTGGCCTTGAAGGTATCCCCAGCCCACCCTCAGCCCAGGGAGGGAGCTGTGGGGTCTGCGACTGGGCACTTCGAGTCTCCCTCCCCAGCATGCCCTCTGGAACCCTACGGAGTCCCAGGCACCTTTCCGCCCCAGTCCTCCTGGGGCCCTGAGCCCTGAGGTCCCTGACCGGCTGTCCATCTGCAGGTCATCCACAGCACCGTGGTGGACACGTCCGTGCTCTTTCCGCACCGCCTGGGCCTCCCCTACAAGCGCTCCCTGCGGAATCTCATGGCCGACTACCTCAGACAGATCATCCAGGACAATGGTGAGGGGCTGGGCCGGGGGGCGGGACGGCCCCGCAGGCTCCCCTCCCTGACACATCTGTCCCCCAACAGTGGACGGGCACAGCTCCAGTGAGGACGCCAGTGCTTGTATGCACCTGGTGATCTGGAAGATCCGAGAAGACGCCAAGACCAAGCGATGACCGCCGCCTGCCTGCCCGCCTCTCTCACAGCCCCGGCCCGCCCTCTACCCCAGGCCTCTTCCAAAACAGTGCAATAAATCTCGAGAGCTAGCCCTGTCCACGTCACCAAGCACGGAAAACCGAGAACGGGACGAGCTGGCGGCAGAGAGCCCAATGCCAAGAGCGACCCTGGAACCCTGCGCCCCCGCCGCGCCCCCTCACGCCCGTCCCTGCCTCTCTGCCCCCAGACCTCTGTCCTCTGGAGACTGCTGCTGACTCGATGGGCCGGGGCTGGGCCCTGCTCCCGCCGCTTCTCTCGGGTGGTGGGTGGGAGGCGGCCAGGCAGGCTTGTCGAGGGTGTGTTTGAGACAGGGGTCGTCTTGTTATTTTGTATTGTTATTTTATTCTTTTTAATTTAAACCTGATGACTTGCACAGTTGTCTTCCTCTACCCAGAAGAGCGAGACCCTGGTGCTGCCTTCCCTCCTGAGGGGCGGGGCGGGGCTGGGGGCAGCCAGCTGGCGCCCCAGCAGCCACCAGGACCCGGGAGTTCAGCCCTCAGCCCACCTGGACCCTGTGACTTCTGGGAACCGAGCCAGCCCCTCTGTCAGCCCCCAGGGCCTCGCCTTCCGGATGCCCCGGGGCCTGCCTGCCTCTGGACGCTGTCTTCCCGCCAGAGCCCCACCCTCCTCAGGGAGGCTGTCTAAAGCCGTGCAGCCCCCAGGCTCCCCAGCCCCTCTCCCCCTCCCCCAGGCAGGGACAGAATAAATGTTTGTATTGATTTTAGAGCTCCTGGCGTCTGGAGGTGTGTTTTTTGGTGTCAGATGTGGCCCTCCGTGCAAGGCGGAGGACACAGCCCCTAACCGGGGCTCAGGAATGGGGCCTTGCTCCACTTCATGAAAACCAACCTCGTGCCCTTGGACGACTGTTCCAGAGCAGATCCAGGGCCCTGGAAGGCCTTGATTCAGGGGCTGTCATGCTTCTGGCCCCCTGGGGTGCTGTGACAGTGGAGCCAGCGGCCACCTCCTGTGAGTAGAGTTGCCTTGCCCACCTGTGAAGTGGGGGCTGGGGGCCGGGGAACCCGGACGGCCGCTGCGTGTTGCATGTCTGAGAAGCTAACTTGGGAAGGGGAGGCTGCGGAGGAGAACCAGGCTCCTTCCCTCTCGGGGCCCTGGGGGTTGGCAACTGAGGAAAAACCACACGACCTAGAAGTTGTGAGTTATGTTTTATTTCAGGAACTCCCTGAGAACTATAGCCAGGGAGACAGCCTCTCAGATATCTCTGAGGAACTGTCCTGAAGAGGGAAGGGAGGAGCCAGGATATGCAGGAGTCTCTGCTGGAAAGAAAACAAAAAAAATAACCCATGTAGTCGAACACGGAAAGATTGCTGCTAATCACAAAAGTCAGACATCTCAAGTGAATGATTCTAGTGCTTTTGTGTGTGTGGAAAGTTCCAAGAGTCCGGGCCCATGGAAGTGACTCCCTTCACATGTACCTCAGCTGTCTGGGGCCAGTGTCCTGTTTTTCTCCATCCTGAACCCCCTCAGGACGCACCTATGGGGGGGTGCCGCTGCCATGGCTGGATGGCTGCAGCACTGGCGGTCCACTGGAATGGCAGGCGACATTCTTTGTCCACTAGGGCTCTGAGGGAGGGTTCTTGTCTGAGTCAGATCCCTGCTGCTGGCATGGGCATGTCCCTCTGGGGGTCCTTGTGACCGGATGACTTTCCCCCACCTCTTCTGTAAGTTGGGAGTGGCTTTCTAAATAAAGGGTGCAGGCAGCATCCTGGAAGCCCCGTTTCTGTGTGGTGTCTCTCCCCCTCCCCAGAGCGTGAGTCCTCTCCCCTCCGTCACCATGGGGGTGGGGGACGGGGTTCCCTGACCCCACTCCTGACAGCCACCTCCGGGGAGCTCTCTCCTGAAGGCTGTTAGGGCAGTCTGTCCCAGCCCCTCCCCGCCGGGGTCTTCCTCGGTCAGGGCTGGGGAGGGCTGGGTGGACGTTTCTTGGGTGACTGAAGAAAATGAGAGGTTTCCTTGGCATCCCCACAGCTGCCGGGTGCGCAGGACTTCCCAGGAAACGGGGGGGGGGGCTGCTGCTCTGCTGTGGGAGGTCAGCTGCTGTGTCTTTGGTCACTGATTCACTCAACATCATCAGCTCAGAGGTGATGCCTGGGCCCCTGGCAGGGCAAGAGGACTGGGGCACAGAGTCAGACAGGCACCCTGGTCTGGGGTCAGGGCTGGGCCAGTGGGAGGCATTGACCTCAAGGCTGGGGGGAAAGGACATTGGAGGTGCCCAGCAAGTATCTTCCCAGTTTCTGTGCTTCAGGGGGTTCTAAAGAGAATATGAAAAACAGCTTAATCCTTCCCTGTTCCCCGTGAGTTTGCCCCTCCTAGGGGGACCCTCCCACACAGCCACCAACCCTGGTTTAGGTCCCCCATTTCCAGCCTGGACGCTGTCCCAGCCTCATGGCTGACTCCCACCCCTGTCACCTCCTTTAGGAAGACCCCCAGAGCCTCGGTCCTGCACTGGGTGGGCACACACTGGGCCAGAACCCTGGTAGGCTTCTTCCACGCACAATGATGTCGGTGGTTTTAACAGCCTCCCCAGCCTGGCGCCCAACAGAGCACCTGCGCATAGGAGATGCCCACTGAACGGGTATGGGATGAACGAGAACCCAGACAGCCAGCTCAGACTCACGCCCCGCCTACCTGCGATTACCTGCGTGTCCTTCCTCCGCCCCTAGTCACGAACCATTGGCCCTGCCCAGCCTCAGCCAGATCCAACCCACCCCACCTAGCGCATGCTTCACAAGGTTCCGCCCCTAAATGACTGGCTCCTTAATACCTTGGCCCTTTCTTTTGGCTCTGCTCTGCAAGTTCCCCCCAACTGACCCAGCAGGTCCCTGCCCTGACACACCTATCCTCTGCAAGGCCCCACCCCTGGGTCTTGGCCGCGGGTAGACCGGCACCAGTCGGCCCCGCCCACAAACCCCACCCTGCCCCACCCCTCCTCTGGCCCTCTCTGCAAGGCCTGGCGTAACCTAGTCCTGCTCCCTGAGGCCCCACCCATCTCTGCAAGGCCCCGCCTTCTGTCCTGCCCCCTCTGGCCCGTTTCCTCCAGGCCTCCCTTGCTCGGCCCCGCCTTCCGCCCCCGACCCCGCCCCCATCTGGCCTTGTTCTCCACGGCCTCCCAAGCTCGGCCCCACCTTATACCCTGAGCGCGCCCCTAGGCCCCGCCTCCTGCCTGGAGCCCCGCCTTCGGTCTTGGCCCCGCCTCCTGGGTCCCGCCCC